AACTAATACAAACAAACTATTTTTAACTAAAATTAACGGTTGAATGAAGCCAATAAACCTTTGAATGACGGACACACAACGCCACACCATAATACCTCCCGAAGACATGTCTTCGAGCATGTTATAACGACTCACAATAGTATAAATTTCTTATTACCTCGTACTCGTAAATTAGTAGTACACGTTTTCTGTTAGAATGTAAGTTGAAATTTATGGCCTGTTGGAAAGAAAAATGTGATTCAATGTATTAAGGAATATCGAACATTGTGAAGTAGCCTTGAAATGAAGTTATAGTTATAGCCCCCACTCAACGATAATATTTTTTCTTCTGACTTATTTGCCATTTAGATTATAAACTTTTTTTTCCAATTAATTCATTAATTGTCAGGTTCTAGGCACATAAACATAAATTGAAATGTTCGAAAATAATATGCAATGAGGTAATATTTTCAGCATTTTATTACATACCCATCATATTAAAAATGGCGTTCAGTATGGCACCAAAACGTATCAATTAACTGGCTGACAAAACAGAATTTTCTTTAATACATCTTTTCTTTTTTAAATACATGCACAATTTACGTGCTGCTTGTTTTTTAAACGTCACCAATTTTAGATTTTCAAAGTGGTAAAATTCATATAATATTTACCACTTAAGCAACAAGTATATGCATCTTTTTACTTCTTCATCAGAATTTAAATGGCACTTTGTAAGATTGCAAGATGACGTACCTAAGTATCGACCGTCATCTTGAACTCACCTTAAAAAACTTACGGTTGCAGATTGATAAAAAACGAATACTCAGTTACTGTATTTTAGCAGAATACATCTGACCACTTCAATAATTTGGAATCCAAAGTGCGTTGATATGTAGCATATAAACGCACTTTTAGGTCAATTTGTCAATTTTAAGCACATAATGCGTTTGACCTCAAAGTGCGCTGTGATGTTTACTGCATTTTGGTGTCCAATAGAACGTTTGACCCAATATTGCGTGTGAAAAGCATGACAAAACTGGTTCTTTTATAATGCGAAGTTAACGAATCAGACAAATAAGTTTGTGCAAGAGAAGTGCGTATGCATTTTTTTTTTCGTGCATTTACATATGCAAAAGCCGTCGAATTATTTTACATCTACACTCTAATATATCTCGGTTAGTTCTCGGTTTACAATGAAATAAATGGACAAACTTATAAAACTATAATATTTTTTATTTTCCTTTTAAACGAACAAAAAATGCCTAAAAGTGTCTTTCAATAATTTTACAATTCATCTTTGTTGTATCACATATAATGTATGAATATTTTATACCAATACTGGAAATAAATTGCATAGTGAAAGTCGAAAAAATACTAAAAAAAGCCATACGATTATTTTGATTAAATCTTAGTCAGGAGAAAATCCAACTAGATAGTTTTTTTAGGTTTATATGTATTTTTCGTCTGCGACATAACGTTTGAAATAACACCCCTATTTCTTGTCTGAATTGTCTGTCAAAGCAGCTGTAGATGAAACAGTTTACCATGCTGTTGATAAATACACAGGTAATTGTAATGTGTATTGCAATATAACTATCTATACTGAGGTATGAGGAGGTCAATCTTCTCTGTTTCATAACGATTTCCAAAGATAAAAATGGAATATAGCTAATACAAAAGAACACTGTCACTATATAAAAACCAGTGTTATTTGTCTCATTCTGTTCCTTCTCTGGTGATTACCATACGTTGTCTCTGATTTGATTTGGTTGGATGAACAGGTGGCTAAAGTCTCGCTGTTATCTCTTGTCTTGCCCTCAATGATATATTGGTTATATCCGACTTCTGGAGAATCATTTATCTTTGTACATGAAGTTGATAGTTCTTTATGTATTTTAAAACATTTAGTTTTATATGCTTCAAGCCTGTTGCACCACTTTTGTTAACATCAACAAAGCTTTCTTTGGCGTGTAATATTGATGCTGCTTTTAAAATACATGCATACAGAGATACCAAAGCGCATAAAGTTACAAAGGTCATCAGTGCCATAAATATACAATGATAAAGGGCATACTTCATACTTTATGGTCCTTTCAACTGTAACGCACACTGTAAATGTTTTATTTTCCAAGGATTGTGTCCTTACCTCGCTGAATGCAAGTAATGGACATGAACAAACACAGGCAGATATCGCAGCAATAAAGCAAAGCAGTTCAACAACTCGATTCTTTTATCTGCCATCCATGTGGCCGACATACCTTTCTATACCTGAAATGAAAACAGAAACAAAGACATGATATGTTAGTAATAAAAAGGAGAAAAGAAAGCCCAACACAGTGAAATTGAAAATGTTGCAGGCTCGGTTTGATACTTGAAAGTGCAAGTTACCCTTAGCATTCAACATTTAACATGAACTGGTAAAATGTTTAAACATCCGCAGATGTGTACATATGGCGGTTATCATGAGACATTCAATCTGACACGTTAGTGCCATTCCATGAAAGCGGCATATGGTTCCCAGGTAAAAAATGTGTGTACCCTAAAAGAGAAAACAATGGGCGAAACTAAATAAATGGAACATATAACAGCCGCATATTCAAATAGTACCTTAGAAGTGTTTATTGGCAGTTTAACACAGGTTTTTTCCTTCTTTGTCTATAGTGACAAAATCACGTGGAGTGATAGAAAATATTTAAGTTAAACTTTATAGAAAAAAAAACATGCTAAATTTTATGTACAATAGTGTTAATGTATGTGTCTGATTAACCCATTACTGCATGAGCATTTTTTGAAAAATGGCTTTTCATTGACATGTTTTCCGTTACAAGTTCAAATTGCTATAAAACTATAAAAAAACTGCTTCAATACTTACTAATAAAACTTGCCACAAATGTTGACTGGATCATTGCCTTTGTAACAACACGCTCAGTCTCAAATTTCTTTTTCTGTTACCGTGGCAACGAGGAGGGACCATCTCAAAATTGCCATATTTTCAATATTTTGCGTTGATATTTTCCATCAAAATTGATATTTCAAAGTGCTGCAACTTCTCAATGGATTGGCATAGAGTCAAAGGATTTTCAGCGTGGTTACACATTGCCTTATTATCGACCTGGCGTTAAAAGGCGTGCATATCTGGTAATTGGTTAAATGGTAAGTTAACTAATTATTTTAATAGTTACATTGTAGTAAAGCAGAGAGAGACAGTATCAGTAGTGGTAGTATGATAGCGAAAGGTTTTTAGTTTTTTTTTGGATCTGGATCAGGGATTAGTGACGTAATTAATCCACTTGAAATTAGGATAATCCTTTTCAAGTGTTTATCATGTCTACTTGAGACGTATTATTTTTCTGTAAGTGGTTATCAAGTGCTCTTGAGATGCCAATTTCCTTTTAAGTTCTTTTCAATTAAAATCAAAATGGCGGTAAGCCTTTAAGGTTCTTTTCAAATTAAATTAAAGATGGCGGTAAGCCTTTGAGTTATTTTTAAATAAGATTAAAAATGGCGGCGCCTTATTGTTAGGGAATGCTAATAAAGTTCGATACACACAATACATGACATGAATAACGATAATAAAAATAATATATAACAATAATAAGACATAGCAGAGTCTGTGCTATTTGGCAGTCATTATTACTTATTGGCGGAGAAAACTTGACAGGTTAAAATGGCCAACATTGAAGAAAGATCGATTTCACTGAACACGACTTGCTCAGACATTCTGCCAGAGTGCAGAAGCTTCAGCATTGGCGCGGGGGAAGAGCAACGTGACGGCCTGTCGACCTCTAGCGACTGCGAGACTTGTGGCAAGAGGCTACCGAAAAACCGCGTGACATTCATCGCTCAGATTGTTGCCATATACTTAATCATCTTGTCGGCAGTGAATCTTTCGATTCAGAACGGGTCGAATCAAGAACTGCGGATAGCACTACTGAGCTCTGCCGTCGGGTACGTTCTGCCTAGCCCCGGTCTGAAATACAGGAAAACACTTCAGACAACGTCTGGGCAAAATTGAACCTGATGAGGAACAAACATGTAGGAGAAGAGACGAAGTTCGAGTATCTGGAGCGGATCTACAGTGATCCGTCGCACCCGGCAAGCTTTGGCGGGCCCAAGAGACTGAAAAAAGAGGCGGACAGAGAGGGTATATTTAACGTGAGCAGTACAGATGTGATTTCGTTTCTAGAGTCTCGAGACACGTACAGTACAAACAGGCCTGTTCGTCGGCGCTTCAATAGGAACAGAATACTGGTCAGTGGCCTTCGCCAACAGTACGACATGGATCTCTGCGACATGAGTAAACTCGGACGTTATCGTGGCAACAGGGGCACCCGCTTTCTTCTCACCGTAATAGACGTGTTCAGTAGGTTTGCAATGGTTAGGCCGCTGCGTAACAAGTCTGGGAAGGTCGTCGCCGAAGCACTGGAGCAGATATTAACGTCAGGTCCTATGCCGGTGCGCTGCAGATCAGACAGGGGCACGGAATTCACGTGCAAGGCAGTGGTCGATTTACTACAGCGACTGGGAGTCAAACAGTACTTCAGTACGTCAGACCTCAAATGTCAGAGCGTTGAACGTCTGAATCAGACGCTCAAGGGCGCCATATACAAATGGTGTTATGAGAACCGATCATTCGCTTACGTTACGGTACTGGACGATCTTGTCGACGGCTACAACCACAGGGTGCATTCTTCGCTGTTTGGACTTAGTCCTAGCGAGGTGAACTCGTCCAACGAGGCGAGGTTGTGGAATCTGATGTACGTGGATGGGGCCGGGAGGGCAGGTCAAAGGACGCAACTGTACAAATATCAAATTGGCGACCTCGTGAGAATAAGCCTAGCAAAGAGAACGTTTGAGCGATCTTACGGTGAAAAGTTCACGTCTCAGATATTCAAAATACGGGGGCGGATCTATAGGGAAAACATTCCTGTCTACTTTTTGGTCGATCTCGAGGAAGAGCCAATCAGGACAGCCTTTTACGAGCCCGAGCTTCAGCGGGTCAGGAAGAGCCTTGACGACATGAGCGACTGGGAAATCGAGCGGATACTTAAGACCAGGAAGTCGGGAAATGTGCACGAAGTTCTGGTCAGATACCGCGGACTCGGACCTAAGTTTGATAGGTGGCTGCCCAAAGCTTCTCTTGGCCAGAAAAAGCGCGCGTAAGGACATGGAGCAAATACACGTGGATATATGTAGCACAGACTGTGGCGATCTGTACCCTTCGAATACCGGAAGTGACTTTAGAGTGATGCTGGGCGAAACAATGACATTAAAAGACGGACGATGGTCGGTTGCACTGGTTGGAGTCACCGTGAAAAGTGCGCTTGACGGCACTGATCTTAATGGCCAGGAGCTGTACTTTTGCTCTAACGTTGTTGACTTTTCTGTGATGGGGGGCAAAAAGGTTCAACTTCTCCGCCGAGTTTGTTTGGGAACTGGAGTGAGGACCTCGGACGGGGGGTGTGCATTTTCCATAGACACCGTTGAAAATTATTGTTTCTATAAAAGGGCACCGCACCAGGAGTTGAAAGGCATTCACGTGTTCGTGCTTAAAAAATCTGGACAGAAATTCGAGCTCATATCTGAATGTGTGGTGTCAGTCACCTTGCATTTCAAGTGCTTCAGATAAAGGGGCGGGGCTTATGTGCCTTCGTACAATACACTGTCAACAGAGGGCCGAGCCATTGTTTGACAAGGCAGGGCAGGCTTATCTCTCTACACGTCAACATAGTCAGTCAGTGCACAATGAACAGCGACGCTCACCACTCCAGTCACCTTTATATACCGGACTTCAAGGCATGGGAGAACATTTATCAAAGAAAGGTTTCATCTCTTGCGAGAAAGGAAGAGAAGCGATTGGCAATTAAGAGGCCGGCGGAAGTAAAGCTACAATTCGTTTCACCGGTGGAAGAAACGGTCGATAGGGCCGAAAGCGAAATAAGGGCGAGCGTTGAAAACGTTCCGAGGCCGAAAAAGACGAAATCTTCGGCTCAATCTGAAGGCAGTCTACCGAGACCGCTTAAAGTTAAGGACGTCGTAAAGGCATCTTCTCAGACGACTAAAAACAACTGGCTAACACGGGGAAAAAAGGGAGGAACTAGTAACTCGAAAAAGTTCAGTTATCGTACACTGAACGACATATTCAGTGCATCTAGATAGCAACAGACCATGTCGGTTCTCTCGCCTTTGAGCGAAAATGAAAGTGCCCCGGAAGCCCTCGACATTTTCCGAATGTACCCTAACCAAGTTGCGATTCAGAGGTACCATCAGGAAGACGTTCGGCCGGTCAGCCAGTTCGACGGCACTGACGCACCGCTTGAGTTCGAAACGTCGCTTCAAGGAGACACATACTGTGAACTGCCATCATGTAGACTTTTTTTGAAAGTGAGGATCCTTCGTGCCGACGGCACACACTGTTCCGACGACGTAAAGGTATCGCCGTGTGACTCTTTCTTTCATTCTATGTTCAGGAAAGTGGACTTATACATAAACAGAACCCTAGTCGATTCCAGCGGAGACCTGTATCCATACAAAAGCTACTTTAACAAGCTGTTTCGGTGTGGTGCAAACACCGATGGTAGTGCGAGGTTTGAAAGCGAACTGTTCACTGGTACCGATTCCGGATTTCCGGGAGAAACCAGACCTAATGCCGGTAAGTTTGCTTACTTTTTCATTATTCTCTTAATGATACAGAATGTTAATTAATTAATTAATTAATTGATTAATTTATTTATTTATTTATTTATTTATTATTATCAATATGATTATAGTTATTTATTTATTTATTTATTAATTATTATCAATATGATTATAGTTATTCTTATATAGTTAAGTACTGTCACCTATGATAATAGTAAAATGATTATTTTGATAACAATGATGATATTAACCATGGGTAACGTAAGTGATGACGGCACAGATAAAAATGATAAACAATAATGATAGTAAAAAATAAAATAAAACTGAAAGATAAATACATTTTGATTCTTTTGTTACCTTACCTGCAGTTAAAGGGAGCTAACTCTTGCGGCCTTGTGTGAATAAAACTAATTGACCGATATTATCTTACAGGTAACTTTGGACTGTATCAACGATATCGACTAAGTCAAGGATCGAAACCGTTCGATTTGAGCGGTCTGCCACTGTGTGATCTCCTCCAACTCGATCGCTATCTCATAAATGGGGTCCATCTTAGGCTGGTGTTACACCGGAACAGCTCGGATTTCTGTCTCATAAGTGGCGAAGAGGGCGACCAGGGCATGGGATACAAGGTGAGGATAGAAGACGCCTTTTTGAGATTGGTGAAATTGAAAGTAAATCCGGCTATCCTTGTTGCCCATTCAAAGCTTCTCAAGACCGTGACGGCAAAATACCCGTACATTCGCAGTGAGACAAAGTGCGCAAATATCGAAAGTTGTCAGTGTCTTTTCGTGGGATCACATAAAATATGATAAACAAGATCAACAAGGAAAGGCGGCGTTCAATGAACGCAACCCCCACATGACCCAGCAACAAGAACCAATGGCAAGGAGCCCAGGGGGACCCCAAACAAAAACAGGACAGGGCAAAGACAGAGCACGGACAGGTTAATCATTAAATGATAATTAATTTGTAACTGATTAGGAATTCAAAGAAAATAATAATAGGCCCACAAAGGGGAAGGGGACAGGAGACCGGGGGGGGGGGTGGGAGTAATCAAAGAAATAAAAACTAGAGGCAATGGGGAAGATACTTACCGTAGACGAAAAAACAACAAGGGACATAAACCCTTCCATTTTACCAAAATTTGTGATCGTTTTATTTGTAGACGGTGCTGCGGTACTAGGTTCTCTGAAACTGAACCCTTTCAATATTGGGGCATTTCGACCTACGTCAGATAAGCTTGTGCGTCAATGGTGTTGTTTTCCCAGGGAATCCCATTAACGTCAACTACACAGAGGGCCTAACCACGGAAGTGTTTGAGCGGTTATATGGCTTCACGCAGGCGCGCCCCATTTACACCGCTATGGGGGGAATAAGCGGTAAAGACCGGGGGTATTTGGGCATCACAAAATCAGACCTGCTGACAGGTCGAGCTATCTACGTTTTCGACATGGCACCAGTCATAGAAGAAGGATTTCATTTCGAATTGCTCAACAGTGGCACTATTTCTCTTCATGTTAGATTCGGTAGCTCGCTGGCCCAAAACGTGACCTGTATTTTCTATGCCGAATATGACGCTATGATGGAAATAGACGAGTCTCGCTCAGTGAAGCTCTTGTAATATATCTACGCATTTTATATTTTCAACTTAACAATGAAATTCTTGATTCAACGGGTGACAAAATTCTTAATAGCACGCCGAATTAGTCTATGTTTATTGGTTTGTTTCTTATTTTGTTTGTTTGTTTGTTTGTTTGTTTATTAATTGTATGAATTTTTATTCAAATTTGTGTATAGACTATTGGCCTGCTGATATAATTATAGCGCATTTCAAATTTTATTTCAATTTACGAAATTAACACAAAATAACAAAATGTATTCGCTTAAAATTTTAATGCCCTTAATATCATTTTCGCTTAGACATTTGCATTATTGACAGGTAAACAATCTGTGACTATTATTGATCCACCTTGTGGCAAGTTTTTTTGTTGTTGTTTTTTTTTTTTGCGTTAATCCACAAAACAAACAGTCGCACCCGTATATTGTATGCTAGCTTATTATTATTATCATCATCATTTAAACGCATTTTTTGCATTCAGCCAGTGTTGTAAATAATTATTGCATTGTTAGTACACATTTACATAGATATATAGAATAAAGCTTATTGTTCACTTGAATTCTGTATTTTTGTAAATTTATACAGATGTCAGTTGAAATTGTAAGTGTACACCCTAATTCCCTGGCGCAGAAATTTTCACCATTTTTGTCCAACACTTGTGACGAATTTACAGCCTCTGTAGTGATGATGTTAGTTATAATAATATATTTACAGGAAAATGAATAGCAATGTTTTAAAGCCAATAAATTTCACGTCTTCTATGCCCAGAATTCATCTTCATGAAAACTGACGAAAATAGTTCTCATGTAAGTGCTATGATATTATCTTTCTTTGTACAGTAAGTATAAAAGAATTTGACAATTCACGTAAATCGGCCGTTTATGTTGATGTTTCCATATCTTACATGGAAATTGAATTATATAGAATAACAACCCCGCAAATGGCCGCCACTTTTGGCAAGGGAGGTAAATATCGTAAAAATTAGCTACATGTATCTGTGACAAAATCATTAACTACATGTACACGTTTCTTTCGCATTCAAATAAATAATATGTGGTAATTTTACAGTCATTAAATACATTAACTTAGTCCGATTGCAACTGTTCTATCATTTTTCTAATATTACGGCAGCACACGTTAAACCGGCGATAAACATGAATAATATATGTATATATCATCGCGTCATATAACATGACACTCATAATATAGTGGTCATCTTTCTTGACACCATAATTTAACGTAACACGGTGTCACCAGTAGAAACCCCGCTGCGTAAAAAGGCCACGTAGACTGTCGCCCTCTTTGGCGGCATGATCAAGGGATCACCGAATACCCCCCTTCACGCTTCAGTCCGAATGGACACCTGACACCTGGCAATGCCTTGAATGTGTGTCACGTGATGTCCGACTACATGGCTTATAAGTATCGCGCTACTTTAACCATCTTCACTCGGTTACAGCGGAAATAATCGAAGGAGCTGATTAAATAATTATACTAAATCAATAAGAAAACGACCAAAGAAGATGATGGGAGTTATCTTGCTTTTGATTCTGGTGTCGGCGGTTAGCTGTTGTAGTAGAGTGGAAGAAGGCTACGTTACATGCCATAAAAGATGGAACGAAGCCGTAACAGGGATCCTCTTAGAAGAGCTGACTGTATATGAATGGGACGGTGTCTGTCTGTTTCCGGCCGGGGCGAGGTTGAGGCTTTATGGTAACGGTGTGAACTGCGCTGTGTGCCCTTTCTTCGACGAAAACGTCAACGTCAACGGGGAGACATGTAAACAGTCGGTACGTTTATAAGCATAATTCTGTTTCAATGTATTCCGTTTCTTGCATTCGCTAGATTAGTAGATTATCATACCATTTTATTATCATTATACTGATTAGTCACGAGAAAAGTC